CGTACTCCCTCACGGTGCTTGTATGTCGAAGTTTCCTCAATGCATCACGGGCTTGCCAAGCCGTGTTGCTGGGAAGGAATTGTTCCTTCATTTCAGCGGATAGAGACTCCCAAGTAGTAATTGGAGGACGAGATTTCTCCTCAAAACATGTTTGTCACCATAATTTAGCATCACCAGACAGGTACATGCTAGTGAGATCTACCTTATCAGCATCCGGAGTGCGGACTACTTTGAAGTAGTGCTCCATATCCCACATAAAGTTCTCGAGTTCTTTAGCATTATGACTGCCTATGAAAGGCTTAGGGTCAGATACTTTAGCTTTCTGAGTGCTTTCACTGCCAGAAGCCAAAGAAGCATTCTGCAGTGCCTTCTTGAGCACTAAAACGTCTGTCTCGAGGGAACTCAATTTTTCTCCCATATCATCGGTCCATGTGGAGATCGTAGCCAGCACGTCAATGACTTCGTTTTTCACTCGACTGAAGTGATCAGATTTAGTCTTTTGAAGTTGTTCGTGTGCAACACGCATATTTTCAAACCGTTGATACAGCAACTCAAGTTGCACAAAGAGAGCCACAACATCACCGGACTATGGAGGACCAACCAACTCCTCCAAACGTGTCACCCTTTCCCTCAGATTAGCATTCGTTCTGTTAGCCATAGTTGATCTGTTGCCAAAACCTGGCTCTGATACCAAACTGTTACGGGGTAACTTTCGTTTTTCTTTCGAGGCTACCTGTGAAGGCGTTGCTATTGCAACCAGCCACACACAAACTCAAGATTAAGGGACAAAAACTCACACACGAATTTACTGGGTCAAAACTCCCAAACCTTATATATTGAACTCAACAATTTACAAGAAACTAACAAAGCCATAACACTTTCTCTGCCTATCAGAATGCTCAAGCACCCCTATTTATACTGGAGTAAGGCAGATGACACCCCCATTTGTCAAGGGGTAGTTACACACATTTTTGTTATTCCATAGCATACTTGGCTAACAGACTTGGTCTCTGTGCGACACCTGGTAGGCAGTTCCACCCCTTTCAGTAACTGATGTGGAACTGCCCTTCATCAGCATGCATCTGGACTGGATTCAGACCAGGGACAACCAGAACTGCCTCAACAATTGCCTTGGCTGTGTCTCCGCATCTGTAACTGCCCACATCCTCCTGGTCACATGCATTGAGCAGTCATGTGCCCACATTCAGTAGCCAGCCTTGCTTCACGAACCAATGTGCATGCTGGATTCAACCCAAGCCCTCCAATCCGAAGCTATGCATCCACATTGCTTCAATTGAGCCAATCACGCGCTGCCATGCTCAACCGGATGTTCTCATGCTACATTGGTTCGTCCCAATCTGTCGAACCACTTAACTGCGTCACCTAGATTCCAACTTATTACATGTCTTGGTGCAAGGTGCCACCAAGACCGGCCATTTGCACCAAAGTCAGTTAGGGTGTGACACTAAGCTTCTACAAGATTTCGAACAGTTTGAGGACACCGTGTTGCCACCATATAAAATTGATTCCATGTATGTTGAAAAGCTAAGTGATTCAGACTTCGTTGGAATATGCAATGGGAGGCCATGGAGAATCCATACAAAAGGTGAATGTGACGACTCATGTACAAAATGTGAATGTGACAACTCATGTGGGCGGTTGTGGCAGCAGCAGCGCCAGCAGTGGAGGGGCAATGCCTGGTTCCTTTATAAAATCCACTAATCCAAGTAGTAATGGTGGTAGTAGCAGCTCTGCTGATAGCCGGGGAGGAGTAAAGGTGGGTTGTTTTACGAAATATTGGTATTGTGTCCACAGCAGCAATGGTATGAAGATTTGGCGGCAGGTGGGTGTGAATGTAATGGCGGACAAGCCTACTCAAAGGAGGAAGAGAAAGTATAGAGGAGTGTATGAGACTGAAGCCGAGGGTGCTGCAAGTCTGGAACGTCTAAGGATCAAAAGAAGAGAAGCAGCAGCATGGGTACTTGAAAAGAAACAGGTGACTTACTACTACAGAGTAATGTTTGTTGTCTTAATACTACAACTATGAAAAACCTCTAAATTCAGTGATTGAAATGAATTAAAAAGCCTAAACAACCAATTTTAAGGTGCTGTAGGCCACTCAAACAAAAAAGACTAAAAAATTTAGTGGTTTCTTTAAGCTTCAGTGCTTCTTATCATGAATCTAGGTCACAGAATAATCACCAAACCATGCCTGGATTCAATAATAAGAATACGAAGAAAAATTCTTAAAATTCAGTGTTAATCATGTTCGATCAGGCTCACAAAGCCCAACTTCTGGAACAGCTTCAGAGCCTCCGCGCCGAGAACGAATTTCTGAAGAAATTGCACAATGTAAGAATGTTCCACAGCCCTGCACTGTTTCTAATTTCATTTTTCTTCAGAATTCTTCCCTCTATTCTTCTCATTCTTATATATGTTTTTATCTTGTAGTTTCCTCTATATTAACATCGAGAGAACATTGACTTTTTTTTTTTTTGTGCTTTCACCATCTCACAGTTTCTGGAAGACAATCAAATGATAGATTTTCCTCCGAAGCCACTGAAGAGGACCATGTCAGGACCTATATGAAGAAAATGGTGTCTTTCTTTTGGAGCAGTATGCAATTGTATCCTGCTATTGTGTATTCATACACGCATCCCCCAAATTTTTTAAATTACAGCACTTGTAGACAAACTTGGTCATGGTCATGGTCAAAGCACAGTTGCAAGGGAGGGTCAATCTCTCTTTTCCTGAACAAGATCAGTCCTGGACAAACCACCTGAAACTTCAGATTCAGCAATATATTTTGTCATACCTATAAATATGGTCACAAAAAGTTATGAAGCCTTTGTTTCAACTTGTGGTAAGCATAGGCAGATCAAAGAGTCATTAAACATCAATAAATTAGACTAGAGGATCACCTAGAATAGCAAGGTGTGAGGTCTAAGTCCTCGGATTCAGACACACTGAAATACCTTAATGCCAGACCACAAACAAATAGAGCATAGGTAATGTTTGAGAGCAGAAGAACACACAGTTTCACAGAAACATCATTAGAACTAAGGTTTAATTACTCCCACCAGGCTGCTGAATTGAACAAAGTTTGCCAGTCACGAGCAAACTCACTCTTTAGTTGCAACTACATTTGAGGAATGGTAAGACCTTTTAACTTGGATCAGCACATTTGAATTGATTACACCACAAGATTTTGGAATCAGAGTTGTAAACCAAAAGAAGAGACACAGGTGCCTCATAACATGAACACACACACACACACACACACACACACACACACACACATATATATATATATTTTCCCGTGTTTGAATAGTTAAATGCTAAACAAATCCATCCTAAGAAACTTAAAACCGATACACAGACTAGTATGTGCTAATTACAGGTGTGACAGCAGTAGCATGACTACCAAAACAATTTACCAGACTAGGGCAATACTCCATAGTGGCATCAACTTCTTGTAACCCTCCTTTTGGTCATCAAACCATGGCATTTCCATAATTCTTTAAGGTCTAAAACCTTGACATATAAAAACATAAAATCAATCATGGTAAGCTCAAGAAAGAAGAAAAATGTAACTCACCATTTGTCTAACATTGCTTGCCCTGTAGAATTTTGTCTCAAAAAATATGGTTAGGCTAACATCTTGTCAAAGGGAACAAATGTAACCAGATAATTGTGTAAAGAACCATGAAATTAGAAGAGCAATTAACAAACCCAGGGAGGTGTAAAATCCCTCCAAGTCAATGCCATCTAAATATAGAGAGCATATGTATGCACCGCAACTGGATATAGATTCAATTCACATACACAAAATTATGAAGTCTTCAGCCATTAGTTAATCAGATGATGTCAAAAATCACAGCTGCCAGTATCTCTTTCAAAGCATGCACTCTTACACCTATACAATCTTTCATGTAGAAGCCCCTAGATTATGTTACAGGACTTGGGGGGTTAATAGGACGAAACTGCAACAATGGAGCACTTAGTCGTGTTATTAAGCAACATCAGACCGAGCCTTGTATCAGATTAAATCATCCTTAAGTGAAGAATTCCTACACCATAAGGTAGCTAACTAGAAAACACATCCAGTCTAACCATGCCCTTATCTACTGCATACCATTACAGGTCTCTTTTTGGCTATAAAAACATAAGCGCTGCATACATTTTCACCAATTTACTTCGAATTTCATACCTCTAACATATTTTCTACATACAGATGATGTAGAACTATCAATAACTCTGTCAACACTTACTAGTCTATCATCCCCACCTCCCGCACCACCCCCTCCCACCCCCCAACCCCCACAAAAAAAAAAAAGAATAAAGATAAAATAATAGAGAGAAAAATAAGAAAGATTACAAGTGCAAAAAACAAACAATTATTGGCTGCAAATTAATATGTAACTGATTACAATGTTAGTAGGCATAAGCACTACAGCACACCAGCAAAAATGGTATGCATTGACAAAAAGTGAATCTATATCTACAAGATAATAAATAACTGATAAACCACCTATATATTCACTTCATTTGGCTACATTTAACATATATACACTCTATCACATTTATCCTCAGACCAAAAAAATTTGATCCAATTTATATGCAACCTGGGCTTCAATTGTAAGAGATCCTTAAAAGCCCAGATACTACTGATTCAACCTTCGACCAAGTAAATGGATGCCCCCATACAAGTAAAGTACCAGGCAATAAGTTTTCATAAAATTTATAATCATGATACATTAATACCACTAAGCCTTGACAAATAACAATCAATTACTAAAACATCTATTATCAAAACGACCAACCAGCTTGCAACAATTGCCAGCCATCATGTGGTATCTGCAAATTGTCCACAAGTATGGCAAATTGTTTCCAGCAGTAGTACTATGTCATATTGCTTTCAAGATCTTAGGCTAGCCAATTGAGAAATGATTATTATAAAATAATGACTAATTACACTAAAAGAAACCATGTAACCAAATCTACTATTTCCATACCTACAAGGACTATATGCGCTCAATCATCACGAGCCTATCAAATGAACACCAAACCATCAAAAAAAATTGTTCAGGCAACTGCAGAACGGAAACTATAAAATAATTAAAGAGGTCCTTTCCCAATCCGCAAGCTAATACAGACTTAAACCCTCAAATTGCAGGTTCAGTGGTGCACCCGAGTAAAGAAAAAGATGAAGTACAACAAAAATTCTCCATTTACAAAGGAAAAATACCTCCTGTTGTCCACATATCTTCAGCTTCCAATTCCATTGGCAAAAATCACAAAAAGAAACACACTGAACATCCGCAAGCTTTCTCTTCCACTTTCAGCTACCCAAACAAATCATCATCATTACCATCATCATCATTGCCTGAGTTATTTTCTGGCCCTCCACTTAAAGCACCATGAAACTTTGTCTCAGCATCTTTAGTTGGAGAAGTTTGTCTACCACCAGGACCATCAGATGAATATGCCCAAGATGAACCTACTTTGCCTGAAAATGATTCCCCATAAAGGTCATCATAGATTCCACTCTTTGGAGGATTTTTGACCTTGTTCAAGACTTCTTGTAGTTTATCAGTCACACCTTTCTGGGAAGCGTTGACTTCCTTCACAGCAGACTGTTCCTTACCTTTGGGTATAACTGTAATTTGAACAAGGGATTCGTATTTTCCAACAAGACTTCCTTCTTTCACACCCACTGGACCAGGTTCTGTTTCTACATCGGCACCATCTGAAACCCCAACAACTTCAACCAGCACTCCTCCAACCTGATCCCTGAATGCCACTCTTGTTTTCTTAATTCTTTTAGCAGCTCTCTCTGTTTGTCCACTCTCATTTTTTCCATCTGATGAACAACTTAACTCACTAGATCTAGAAACTAAGTCTGATTTGGTGAGACCATAACGGTTCAAGAATGTGTTATAAGCCAAAACAGCTTCTTCATCAGAAGGATCAGGGGGTGGAGGTAGATTAATTTCAGTGGGAAGTGGAGCAGGAGGGAAAAGAGCCGCATTATTTTTTCTCAAGATATAGGTTCTTGTAGACGCAGCAAACCGCAACGACTGCCCTACCTCAAGCTCAACAGGAGAATCTTTAGTCAACCGTTCATTTGCAACAAATGTACCATGTGCAGATCCCAAATCAATTACATATATACTGTAGCATAATACAAAGCTCTGTCAATTCAAATAATTAGCAAAAGGGCCTTCCAATTTAAAAAATTTATATTTAATGAGCCAGACAAGCAGCATCTCCATCTCCCTAGGCCCTTTTTTTTTTTTTTTGGTGTTTGTGTGCATGCATGTGTGTGTGTGCGTGTGCGTGTGTGTTGGGGGCTATGAAGTACGGACACTCTCGAGAAGGTGACGTATCTGTGTCGGACATGTGTTGGAGACCGACACTCTTCGGACACGTGTTCGATACTTTTTTATCCGTGTCTATAATTAAATGATAAATTTTTAATTTCGGACATGTGTCGGACACTTTTTTTGGTGACGTGTCCGACACTTCTTTAGAACGTGTCTACTACTAAACAATAGATATATGTCGAAATGTGATTAATAAAGCTTAAAAATTTTAGAACATATAATTACTAATGCTAGACATGTTAAAATTAGACTCCAAATATAATAATAAAAACAAAAGATGAATAAAAGTTTTAAAAAAGAGGAATTGAAAAAATGAGAACAATTATTTAAATTATATATTAGGTACACATTATCTACAAAAAAATTTGATGGTTATTGACTATTATGAAAATGTTTTAGTCTAAAAATTCACAAAGATGACTAGATATTAGATTTACTTATCATAAAATACTTAATCTTTTATGAATTGTATATCATTATCACTATATTTGTAATAAATTATATAATGTTATATATAAAATATAATTTTATTTTGTAGCGTGTGCTCAACGTGTCTGTGTCCTATTTTTTTGAAAAATGTCATGCCGACGTGTCCATGTCGTGTCGTGTCGTATTCATGTCTCCTGTCCATGTCCATGTCCATGCTTCTTAGGTTGGGGGGAAATCGAAGGCGCCTAGTTAGGTAGCCCATGAAGTTTTACAAAGCCTACCAATTTATCACGCTCGATCATGCAGCTGGTAGACCTTTCACACTATGAAAAGCTACTACCTAAGCCAAAATTTTCATCAAAATTCAAAAGCATAGTCCAAAGAGATTAGCGAATTGCCTTCTGTTTTCCCTCCCTCCATTTATTCTTACACATGGTCTTTAATGTCTGACTGTTGCAAACTTAGACAAGCTCACAATTCTCATTTTTATTCTTATGGGAGGCTTCGATGATACAGTCTAATTTATATGATGTTTCCTTCGTATAAAAAGTGAAGTATTGAACCACGAGTACTTAAAATCTCAATATAACATATCAGAATATGCACAATGAGAGGACAACTCAAAAAGAAACTAAATTTAGGGATAAGAATGTAAACAAAAGATTGAGCATAGATCCAACCTTCCATTCTTGTGAGGAATGACAGCAGCATGCTGGCGTGAGACAGACTGATGATCAAGCACAAAATCACAAGTGTGAAACTGCCTCCCAAAGATGTGCCTTCGCTTATCCAAATTTATCCGATCAAGAACCTCACCATCCTTCATAACATCAAGATGATAGACGCCCAGCCGGGGCTCAATTGCCCAATCAGGAGGCTGCCAAGTCGATTGGCCCCCTCCAAGCTGAGCCGCTTGTTGAGTTTGCACTACGGTTGGCACTGCTACATCCAGCTCCACGGGTTTCTGAGAAACATAGTGTTGGTTCTCATATAGGGGTTGCTGATGAGGAGCCAGAGGTTGAGAATATGAAGCCGATGGATACACATTTGGTTTAGGAGAGGGCTGCGTAGTTGGTTTTTGAGCTGAATTCACGGATACCGAGAATGGTTCCAAAGACTGAGCTTTCTTGAACCGATCAAGACCCGATCTTCCATACATTGTTTCCTTCCTTATTTTCCAAAATAAACTCCTGCCAGCAACTCAATGATAGCAGAAGCACAAGTCACAACAGTGAAACGCCACCAAAATGTAGCAATATTAACGCTGGTCAAATAACCGACCCTGCATCCGCTCCACTCCATACAGAGCTCCCATCCTAAACCAAAGATGAAGGAATAAAATTACAGATAGATGCGCACACCAAACAAAACACTGTCTCATACTTATGCTAGTTAGCCCATATGAGAGTATTAGTGCGCGACAGAGAGTGTGCTTGTCAGTGACAGTCAATCAGAATCCAGACAAAATGAAAAAGAAAATCCGAGAGAAAATATAGCATAACAGTTCTTGTAAGTAAGGGGTCTCGCCCTCGCTTTTCAAACCAAAAAATCAAAGTAATTTTTCACTCACAGAACACACAACAACAAAAAAAAATTAGTAGTTTGGAGATCTTATTAATAACTGCAGTCCAATGTGGCCGATAAGAATCACGAGAAATTTCAAAGATCAACAGCGTATCTAAGAGTGAAGTATGCAAATCCGTCGATTATGGTATCTAAGTATTGTTAATAAGACATAATGATATGGAGAAGCACATAGCAAGTAAAGGTTGCGGAACGAATCGAAACAGCTAACTGAGATAAAAAAAAAAAAAAAAGGCTTTACCTTCGGACGAAGGAGACACAACTTTAGGGTTTGTACAGTGCAAAAGCTAACGATAGCGTTTGAATAATCATATGTTGCAAATCCACCAAGAAAGATTGTGTGAATCGTCTGATTGCTGCTGAGCTTGGGATTTGAGAGAGAGAGAGGGAGAGAGGGAGAGAGGTGGAGAGATGTTTCCGAGAGACAATCCCCGAGGTTTGTCACTAATACAGACGGATCCCCTCAGGTATGGTAAATTACACTGAATCCCCCGCATGACAGCAGTTTGCAAACAGCACCGACGGAAATAATAAAAAGACCAATTTACCCCTACCCACACCCCCCAGACAAGGTCAACCCTGGTCAACTCAACTTAACTGGACTGCACAAGGGCAGTGGAAGACACATTTGACTATCAAAATCCACCAAGGGACCCCAAATCAGGAGAAAATATTCGGTGCTAATAAAGTATCTAGTGACAATACCGTGGGGTGGCTACACCTAAAGAAAAATTATCGCATCACTTACTTGGACTCACAAGTTAAATTTTTATTTATTAGAATTCACTGTCTATTCAATAGTTGAGATTATTAAATCTAATTTTAAGTCTAATTTTTAAATCTATCTAGCATTATTTTTTTTCAAAAGAATAGTCTGACAACTTCCCAAGCAATAAAAATTAATTAAGAAAGTATAATATCTTATAGGCGATATACACTGTCTTACGGTGTTTGGTGTGCAGGCAATATTTTCTCCCAAATCAGATTGAGTGAACTGGTTGGATATCCAGGGAGGGGAGCTCATGTATATTGAGCTTAAGAAGAACAAAATCATGTCGGAAGCCCATATAAACTACCACATCAAGACCCAGTTGTTCAACACGAATAGGACACGGGAGCCCCTGTCCTTCCTCAACTCATACAAAATACACATTCAAATACAAATACAAATACAAATCACAACAGCCAATAGGATTATTTCACTTCATCCAACCTTCCTCTGCTTCATTTTTCCTCCTCCGAAATGGTTTCTATTTCTGCCTCTTGTATATCTTACCCAAAAAGGACTTCAACACTGCCTGCACTGCTTTGCTTGGATGAGCTTCAATAAAGCTTGTAAGTTTTTGATAGCTCTTGCTTTCATACTCCGTGAATACACTCTGTCACATCGGACACAAAAATAATAAAGATCTCCGTCGAGAAATGTATAACAAAAATGACGTGCTCTTTAGGATTTTGGTGATGCAGCAGCAGTTGTGATTTGACTCTAGATGTGATCTTTATTGCACCTTCATGGATTTTGTGGAGCATATTGAGGCTTAGCAACAAGAGAGGTGCAGTGTTTTAGTTAATTTGTGCCTTAACCATGTGGATTTGAAGCGGCTTTTCTTCAATTACTTATACCATGGTTTGGGACTCCCTTCAGGGCTTGGTTAGTTTCCATTACCAAAGACACGAGGTTTATTTGAAGACTAGGTGAGTCTTCAATTATGCTTAGAGAAAGGAAAATGGCTGCACATTGTCTTTCTGGGCCATGCAGGATGAGAATTTAATAGCATGGATGGAGGATCCATTTATGGGTCTTGGGATTCACATTTTTTGTTCAATGATCATCTACTCCTCAAAAAAGATCAAGCTCAAACCTGAAGATCTAGATCATTATAGAGGGCTTTCACTTTTGCAACATCAGCAGAATCTGCTTTCCCATAATGCTCCTGCAAAAAGTACATGCTATCAATAAGAAAATCCATGGTTCATGGCAAAAATGACAAACAAGATGACAATTTGCCCCTTACATATAACACTTTCTTCTGTTCTTCGTTGCAACGTTCCAATGCTTTCACAACCAGCCAAGAGCACTTGAAATCTTCAATATCTGTTCCAATCTGATGATGCAAGAGACCAAAGTTAAGAGCTGTCAGCAAATTAGTTGTGAACTTTTTGAAATATCCCATCATTCTGTGTTGAACAACCATGACGCAGAATCTCACCTTGCCAATTGTTTCTGGATCACCAAAGCAATCCAAATAATCATCCTGCAAAGATAGAAAAACTGTATAATGACGTGGATGTAAGTGAATAAAAGACTCTTCTAGAATACCATGCAGTGTGGCACCTATGTATTCTAGCACTCATACCCATAAAAGTACAACAGACCTAGTGCCAGATCCCAACATTTGATACTGTAAGTAAGCAAACAAGTACCTGTACTTGAAAGTATATCCCCATTTGAACCAGAATGTCCTTTACATCAATATGATTTTCCAAGTTCTCGCCTGCCATAAGCAATGCACATGCAACCTGTATAACAATAGGGAATATAACCATTCAAATGGTACATGGTTTGATAGAATTTAAGGGACTTTTTGCTCACCGGAAGGTAGAATGAGTAATAGGCAGTCTTGTACTGAACAATGCGGCAGTGACTGCACAGAATTTGTAGAATTTCACAAATTAACAAGAAAACAACTAACTCAAAAGGAATCATTTTCAAATGACAGAAAAAGAGTAACAGATGCAGTATTGACACAACAAAGGAATGTAGGATAACTCAGTCATTTTTGAGATGTTAAGGTCGATCACTCCCATGTCAAAGGAAAGTGGAAATAGTATGGACCACTACTGGTGCCAACATGCATGAATAAACATAAGTGTCAAAAAAAAAAAAAAGCAAATGTGAATGATGCTTCTAATGATTTGGCATTTTATAGGCATACAGAATTCATACCAAAAGCACCCCAACAACCCTTAAAAAGTCAAATAAACACTTAAGTGAAACAGTGTGCACTGCACATCAATGAATCTGTACAACCGTTCAGGAGATAGCCTAAGTTTCCACAGGAAGCTTGCCAATTATCACACTAAATTTTACACTTTTGATCATAACAATTATAATTTTAGCAATTCTGCCAAGGAAATCCATTTACTCTCAAAATGGAGGCATAACTTCTTTCTGGACAATGGGCACTCCCAATAACATGTCTAGGCTGGTAAAGACATTTTCATAGTTTGGCCATTCATTTTATGTGGATAAGTTAATTAGTCATAATTCCAGCTGCAGGGGTTGCCTAGTGCCATTAAGTCAAGTAAGAAGTATGTACTAATATTCCCACTCACAGCAGCAATGAGTATTTGGATAGATCCTTTTCTCCTTCAAGCGTAGTAATCAAATCTATCATTTGTCCTGAAGCTGTTTGGAACTCCACCTACAACATCACAATGTGAATCAACTTCAACAAGTTTTTAAAATGAAACTGAGCAATCTAGGTCACTGCAAGTCAACCACCTCATTGAATAAATCCAGCAGATCAACATAGTAAGGCTTCTCTCTGAAGTGCTTCTTGAGAATCCTAGGGATGTGATTGCGAAGTAAAACACCATCATTTACAGCAATCATTCCAACCTGAAACATTTGGTTCATTATTTATCTGCATTAGTAAAGGCAATGCAAAAAAGTAGAAATTTTCTCTAATTGGCACAAACCTTGGGCACTTTGAACCAACAAGGTTGGCCACGCCGCGTGTGTGAGTTATCCATAATATCATCGAGAACAAGAAAATATGCCTGTAGCTGCAAATATGGTTATAATGAAAGAATCAGATTCATAGACAGTACAAATACATTTTACAGGACAATTAGCACAATTAAGGATAAGGACCTAAGTATAATCTGCCGACTTACCCATTCAATACACCAGCCTAGGGCGCCTGCAAGAAATATTTCATCCTCGGTTAGTTCCTTTCCTTCTTTAAGCAACTTGTAGCTATCAATTACAGACAGCCCCCGGTTCAGCTTCCCTGCAAACAAAGTTTGACTCGGTCTATCAAACATAAAACATGCTTCTTTAGTCAGCTTCCTTTGCTCTTATAAATGAAGATTGAATACAGCCTCGTAAGCAACACTAAATGCTATGCAAGTATGACACAGGACCGACAAAAATGGATTGATTCTGACCTCCAGGTACATTATAGTCCAGCATCTGTCAAAAATAAAATAATCATCTAAGTCAGGGAACCATGGAAAGGCTGCATGTTTTTTATGGAATGGTGCAGAGAGAGAGAGAGAGAGAGATTCCCATTATAATTTACTGTCAAAGAATTAGGAGAAAACCAACCAAAGAGTCATAAAGAAGACTGATCACTAAAGAATACAAATGTCATTTTGCATTAATAATTCTCTAAAATGCAAGCAAAACTTAAAGGGAACAAAAATAAGGGAATCATTCAGATGCTTGAAGGGTTATTCATCATAAAGATGCAAGGAATAAAGCTTTACAATGTAAGGTTCTAGTAGATAGTTGATCAAAAAGTTAAAATCACCAACTCCACCACAAGCCAGTGCTAAAAGATTAAAAGAATATGGTTGTCACTACTCTATGAAACCAATAATGAACTAAGCATGACAATGTAAAAGGCAGCTAAGATCAGCATCCCACAATTAAAGGAAATTGCTCTATTCCATTGCAAGGGAATGAACATAGCATCCCATATGACCATGAATTTTCAAGGAGCCATTTCTGTTATTAAACAGACAAACAAAACCCAGAAACATTTTTTCTTTGTGACTTGGATGGTAATGAGAATAGCTTCTCCCCCCCTAATCCAATCCATACATAAGAATCTCAAGCAATTGGCAGTATGCAATAGCTATGCTAATAATGTTGCAAGAATGAGCATTACAATCCCCCACTAGTTCGTCCAATTGCTGAGGAGAGCAAGAAAAACCATGATCTTCCATCATATATTTAATTTTTCTTGTTTTAATTTGTCTAGAAAAGCTGAGAGACGCAACTCTTCCAGATACATGGCTGACCAGGTAGTTGTGATAGGCTCAGCTAGGTGAGTGTCGAGTCATCCCATTCTGGAAGAATTGAATGAACAAATATTCAGCCCATCATTTCACTTTCTGTTTTCCAAAGTTTCTTTAGCAATGTAACGGAGCAATACCAGAAGGAAGTAAATTCCATATAGTATACTTTGTTCTGTCCTGGAAAATAGATCTAGGTATAGTACGCGAGAGTTGCCTGGCATTCAAGATCTCTAATCTCGATTTCAAAAATCATTACTTGGTTTAAGTTTGTAAAAATGAATATAGAGCAAAAGAGAAACGAATTGCAAGCTAAAGAAGAACATGATATAAGATTCTCGATATTCATGCAAGTAGAATGAGCTAAAAAATGATGTCTCAAAGGCAAAAGATTGATGGGATCAAAACAACGAAATCTTCCTCATCACCAAGATTAAGAAAATCAAAATTAGAGGAAATTACGAATGAGATTTGAATGCATAAGAAGTATGTAATTGTAGTTATATACGAGATAATTAGAAAGTAGCGAGAACTCACCCGGTCGACCCATTGACGAGAATCATCAGTGAAGTCGAAAGCAGGGTCATTAAGGAGTTCGGATTTGAGGACAGAGTATACCCCCAGAAACGAGGACTTCAGATCCGACGTAGTTCCGTTCAGATTTGCCATTTCAATTACTCTTTCTCAATGAGACGCACAGAGAGTGACAGAGAGAGGATGTGGGGTAAATTGAACGGAACGCCTCCTCGTGTCAGTCCTTCACAGTTGGCCGATTGTTTGCACTTTGTATATTTAGCCGAGAGAGAGAGAGAGAGAGAGAGAGAGAGAGAGACGGCGGGGCCTACTGGGGGAAATTACCACGTGAGAGGATGCAATCAAAGTGGGTTTAGAAAAGAGGGTGGAGATTTCCCGGAAATGCCAATGTGCCATGGCTTCAAATTCAATGAGTGAGTGATGGGTGCAGTAGTATTGAGAGGTCGTAAGCACGTGAATAGAGGAGAGAGAGAGAGATTTGGCTATTTGTTTGGCATTTTCCTTCCAATTATTATTTTATGTACTGTCTGAAGTGAACAACCCATCGCGTAACATGGACCTCAGTCGGCCCTAATTTCCAAAATTAGTACAATCTTGATTGTTGAAATCCTCCAACATTTGGATCTCGTTGACATTATACAATTTTGAGACTTTTTTTTTAAGGGAACCACAGATTTAAAATTAAGGGTTAATTACATTATAAGTCCTTAAAGTATAAAATTTATCTTATTTTAGTCTCTAATGTTTCAATTACATTATTTTGATCTCTAAAATATTAGATATATTTCTATATGGTCCTTGAAGCAAACAGTATTCACATTCCTAAGGATTTTTTTATCATAAACTTGTTATATGATATTGAAATATGGACAAAAATAATTTGAATAACTCTTGAGGGGTGTCAACTCTGACCCGTTGATACAAATCCGACACGAACCTGATACAAACGATTATACAATTGACTGACTTATTAAATATGCATAATAAATAATCTACATTAATATATAATATTGAGAACACACTGAATATATTTTTTTTCATGAATCTTGACACGAATATGACACGTATAACAATGACATGACACGAATAACACGACATATGGATCACACGAACACAACACGTCTTAACTAAATTTTTACTCAAATTTTGGTTAAATACCTATATACATTACACAGTTTTGATTTTAAGCTATCTAATTTTTGGTCAAAAGTTATCCGTATTATACATTTTTTTGTCAATAGCTACTCAAATTTTGTTTAAAAACTATCAAAATTATTTTTTTATCTATATTTAGCTATTATGTAACAAGATTATGATAAAAAAATCGTTAGTAATTTAAGCGTTGTCTGCTTGAAAGATCATATAAAAATATAATGCAATTAAAATATTAAGGACAAAAATAAAACAAACCTCCTACTTTGGAAAGCTTTATTACAATTAACCCTAAAATTAACACATAAATGTGTTGACTCCTGTACGAACGACTCACTCGCTACAACCACTATTGTAAGCTATTGAATTGACCAACCGACCATTTTATTTTTGGCAAGGCTCATCATGTTTTCCCTTTGCAGGCAGCCCAATACTAGCCAGTACTAGTACAGAGTGCAGTAACATGTTTACCTTGATCGTGAACAAATCTGTTAAAAAACAAGTTAAGATCAAGTTGGATTTTTTTCCTAAAAATCAAAGGCAAAGCCAGTGCCAAGCCACAGCACGCCACAGCCAGATTTGTCTTTAAAAATTGAGGGCAGGCCTTTACTATTATAAATGCAAGCTGGTGAAGGAATACTTCTTTTTTTTTTATTGCTTGTTTTTTGGGGTTGTTCAAACTTTAAATGGAAGACGGTGTTCAAAGTTGTTATTTATTGACTTGACATGATGCATCTGCAGTTATGGTCCGTTTGGTACAAGGATGAAAAGTATGAAGAAAGGAAAAATAAAAAGAATAAATTTTTCATTCATGAAGGAAAAAAAATTATTTTTCTTCCATTTTATTTGTTAGGAGGGATGAAAAATAGAAGGAAGATATTTTCTATCGTTTGGTATTAGCTAAAAAATGAAAGGAAAGGAAAAAATATGTACATACAAATTTACTACTCTACCCTTACTAACCTTATAATATATTGGACACCTAATGTTTCTTGCAATGAACAATTAGTGAATCATTTGTGCTAACATGTTAGAAAACATGTTGCAAAAGATTATTGGGAGATGTTTGTGGGGATCCATTATTGGAAATGAATTGCCAGAAAAAAAAAAAAAAAAGGAAGTCAAAATTCAGTTTTCTTTTGAATATTAGATGAGAATTTTTTTACAAAAAGATATCTAACCAAATCATCTTATTTTTTTTTATAATAAGAAAATTAGTAAATGTTTAGAATTAGTGCTTTTCATTTATACATAGTACTTTTCATTTCTAACCATCTCAGCAATATCATTAAAAAAAATGACTTCAAGTGAAAAAATCAACCCATAGAAAAACTGATAAACTGTGTTATAGCAGATTGAAATGTAAACTCAAGATTTCACTACACCACTGCCATTCACAGTGTCATCAATTGGACCCTTCCCATATTTCTTTTCAAAATCATGTGCTTGGCTGCCTTTGGTTTTACTTGCAACAGACCTTGTTATCATCCCAACACCCTTGTGGCATCTAGAACCCTCTTGCTTTTCCAGATTCTTGATGATTGTCAAACCTCTCAACTCAATATCATACACGCTAGGAGGAGGAAGTCCATAACTGAGGCATTTGCTGCACCTGAGAGAGTGTTGTCTCTTCCTTATCATATTGTCAAATTGCCCACCATGATAATACACCAGTTAGAAGCATCTAGTGGCCATCTACACAAAACATATTGATTTGTGCATAAAGTTAACATTTTTTACTATGCCTTTTTGGACTAATTGTACTTTGATAGACTTTAAGTAATGACATTTTCAGGTCCTAAAGTGAACAAAGGCTCAAGAACAACAAAAATCATATTTGAATGTAACACCAGCACAATAGGAAATAAAATTGCAAAAGGTTGGGATAAAGCAAGAACGTTCGAATGTCAACCCACATTCGAACATCCTCTGAAATCCTGCCAAGACCAGTTGCTGAGACATGGCGTGTTGCAGTCAACAAAGGGAAAATGCTAAGGTACTTGGGTACCAAGTTCGAACATCCTCTGGAATCCTGAGAAGACTAAACCACTGGAACCTAGTACGTTGCAGTCAAGAAAGAAGAATCACAGACTAAAAGTACTTGAGTACAACGTTCGAACGCTATTCCATGTTCAAACGTTGTCTTGAGTGACTGAGGATCAAGTTGCTGAGTGTAAAGTCAAAGTTGTTCAAGATGTATGGAAATGACCATCACAGAGACCACAGGCCACTTAAATGGAAGGAATCAGACCTCATCTGGCGTTCAAACGCCCTAAAAGCAAAGACACAGACAACGTTCGAACGACATCTCACATTCGAATATCCTTAAAGAAAAGACAAACTTAATGTTCGAACGCCAGATCATGTTTGAACGTCCTCTGTAGACTACTTGCAGAGTAGTTGGTTCTCATGGGCGACAAACACTATTCACTCATCCACTCTTATCTCCTACCCCCCATTCCTTGCCTATAAATACTCCCATGTTGGGAGCTTAAAGAGCATTCTTCCTCTTGTAGATAAAAGGGGGAACAACCCTTGTTCTTGTAAAGTAAGAGTGTTTAGTAATTTAGCTCTTGAACATTTTATGTTTATGTTTTCATTTTGCATTTATATCAACCATGATGGAGGCTTAGACTCCCCTTGTAGTTGAAGTTTTTTATTTACTTATGCTAAGTCTTTACATTCATGTTTTGACAACCAAGATGGAGGCTTAGACTCCCCTTGTAGTTGTACTTGCTTTTATTTACAAAGTATAAAGAGAGATAGTTCATCTTTTGGTTGGGTGGAAACTCTCCAAAAGTAACTAGTTTTCTTCTATTTTTATTATTCATGTATTTCACTTCCATTGCTTGAGCATCCTTTTTTCTTAGAAGAGTGAAATTTTTCCACTTTTCTAGAGCTTTACCAAAGCCGTGAAGGGTGGAAAGTAATTCACTTATTCTTCATTGAAGATAAGCTCTTTGTTTAGTTTGCTTCACTTAGTAGCTCCTCTACTTAGAGGGATGAGTAACATTCACTTTTCTAGCTTTGCCAAAGCCATGAAAAGTGAGTAGTTCTTCATTCACTCTTTAGTAAGAGGTGATGAATACGCAAAGATTATCCATAAATTATATTTGTGCAACTTCTTTATGCTTTAATGTTTTATACTCCACCTGTTTCATTGGATGATTGAATGTATCTAGCAAAGTTGAGGTAGTTTGTATAACCAAGGGCTCCCTCTATGATACGGATGATTCTTGTATAAAAAGACCCATTGGTTCAAGGCAAGTACCCCCGCTAGCTCTTCATAACAACCTTTCAATCCTTACCATTATTACACTTTATTCAAAGAATTGATCATTAATGTCATAATTGGATGCCTTGTAGAAACACTTGCTTGTTTATAGACGGGTTAAGTCTCGGCATAGACAATTCTTGTAAACTTCTAGAAAGGCATCAGAATTATATGCTTAATTCTCACAGTCCATATTTATCTTTCGATTAACTTGCTGTTGACACGAGAGTTAATTGAGTTATAAAGCACAAACATAATAAATCGGATACTCTATTACATGTCTGGATCTTCGAGCTAAAGGGTGGCTGTTACATTTTAAGAATTTTATATTTTGTCTATAAAACTCTTGAAAAAAATCTTCGATTCTATTCAAGAAAACTCCACCACTCCAAACTCTCGAAATTTTCAGTTACTTAGTCTCTATTATTGCTTACTTCAAAACACCAATTATAGTTCCCTGTGGATTCGACTCCGGACTTAACCAAATTATTACTACAACTTGACCGCATGCACCTGTGTACACATTTCGATCAAGTCACATATAAACATAGAAATTTCTGTTAATGGGGGCCCTTTACATTGATATTCACATGCATTGAACTAAAATAATATATTGTCTCACATAATCCCAACAATCCACTGACCCACATGATTCCCACAAAAGATTTTACTTTTCAATAAACTAACACAATAAAAGGTGACAAAAAAATATGCTTCATCAATTATAGCAAACAAAACACACCCCATGTATGAACCCATCATGCATAGACGCGAACCCAAGCGAAACAAACCCCCACTGACAGAAAATTTGCATCGTAACCCACCTACGATGTTGATTGCGGTGGCTCATGACTTACAATCGACCATTTATACATCCTATACCTTAATCCACGACTTCAAGCATTTGAGGACTTCAAAC